GCGTCGTCGTCGCCCTTTTTCGGCGTTGTGTCGACATGCGTCGCTACGTGTCGCTCCCCAGCACCCCAGCGCACCGCCCCTTCTGCCCCGACGACTTTATTTCGGCGTCGTCGTCGCCCCCCCCTTTCTCCCTGTCCTCGGCAGCCCAGCGCGCTGCCCCCTCCGCCCCGACCACTTTATTTCGGCGTCGTCGTCGCCCCCCTTGTCCTTTTCCCCAGCCGCCCAGCGCGCCGCCCTCTCCGCCCCGACCACTTTATTTCGGCGTCGTCGTCGCCCCCCCCCCCATCCCCCTCTCCCCAGCAGCCCAGCGCGCCGCCCCCTTCGCCCCGACCAGTTTATTATCTTGCACAGGTGTGCTCTAGAGCTCGGACCTCTTTATTTTCGTTCGTTCGTCGTCGTCCCCGGCCCCTGGTCCGGTCCCGACCCTGGACCCAACCTCCCCCCCCCGTCCTGGCCTCAGCCCCCCTCGCCCCGCTGGCCCTGGCCCTGGACCCAGCCTCCCCCCCCACCCGGCCCTGGCCCCAGTCCCCCTCGCCCTGGCCCCTTTATTTTCGCTCGTCGTCGTCCCTGGTCCGACTCTGGCCCTGGACCCAACCTCCCCCCCTGGTCCTGGCCCCAGCTCCCCTCGCCCCGCTGGCCCAGGGCCTGGGCCCAGCTTCCCTCGCCGGCCCTGTCCCCAGTCCCCCTCGCCCTGGACCCTTTATTTTCGTTTGTCGTTGTCCCTCTGGTCCCGGCCCTGGACCCAACCTCCCCACCTGGCCCTGGCCCCAGCCCCCGTCGCCCCGCTGACCCTGGCCCTGGACCCAGCCTCCCCCCCGGCCCTGGCCCCAGCCCACCTCGCCCTGGCAACCCTTTATTTTCGCTCGTCGTCGTCCCTGGCAGCTGGTCCGGTCCTGGCCCTGGACCCAACTCCCCCCCTTGCTGGACCCTTTGTTTTCGTTCGTCGTCCCTGGTCCGACTCTGGCCCTGGACCCAACCTCCCCACCTGGTCCTGGCCCCGTGGAGCCCCCCTCGCCCCGCTGGGTCCCTGGTCCGGTCCTGACCCTGGACCCAACCTCCCCCCCTGGTCCTGGCCCCAACTCCCCTTGCCCCGCTTGCCCAGGGCTTGGAACCAGCCTCCCCCCCGGCCCTGTCCCCAGTTCCCCTCGCCCTGGACCCTTTATTTTCGTTTGTCGTCGTCCCTCTGATCCTGGCCCTGGACCCTGCCTCCCCCCCTGGCCCTGGCCCCCCGCCCCCCTTGCCCCGCTGGCCCTGGCCCTGGACCCAGCCTCCCCCCCCCGGCCCTGGCCCCAGTCCCCCTCGCCCTGGACCCTTTGTTATCTTGCGCAGCTGTGTTCTAGAGCTCGGACCTCTTTATTTTCGCTCGTCGTCGTCGTTCGTTCGTCGTTCGTCCTCCCCCCGGCGGCCACAAAAAATAACTCCTGGAGGAAGGAGGCGAAAGCCTCATGTCTCTCGCGGCTCCTTATTGCAAGAGCCAGGGCACGCGTGCCACTTGTTCATGTACTCCCGACCATTCTGCGTTGGGCTCTCGTCTTGAATACAGCACTGGGGTCGCGTCTCCTCTCCCTCCATCTCCTCGTCTCTTCTCTCTTCCTATCTTCCCTCCTCCTTCCTCCTCCCTCTCCCCTCCTCCCCTCTCATATGCCTCCCCCCCCCCCTCCTGCCTCCTTCATCCCTCCTCCCTCCTCCCTCCTCCCCCCCTCCTCACTCCCTCTCCTCACTCCTCCCTCCCCACTCCTCCCTCCCCACTCCTCCCTCCTCCCTCCCTCGCACCTCCCTCCTCCGCGACCACCACACGACACCACACAACACGTCGCCACGTCGCCACACGACACGGCGCCCCCGTGGCGCCCTGGTGGCAGACAAACTCAAGAATGGTAACACCCCCTCCTCTTCCCTCCTCTTCCCTCCTCTTCCCTCCTCTTCCCTCTTCCTCCTGCTCCTCCTCCTCACTCCCTCCTCCTCCTCTCCTCCTCCTCCTCCTCCTCCTCCTCCTCCTCCTCCTCCTCCTCCTCCTCCTCCTCCTCCCCCTCCTCCTGCGTGCGTGGCCTGAGGGCTGGCCGAGGGGTGGGCCGAGGGGGCGAGGTGGCGGCGAGAAGGATGGCGCCGCGACAGGCGCCTGCGTGACGAAGGCCATGGCGACTCCAAAGGCGTGCATCATGTGCGAGCCTTGGTCCACCTGCCTCTTCGCAGCGCCCATGTGGAAAATCTCCATCGCCAGTGTGATCCATCCTGCCCCCACGCTGCACGGGGAGCCCTGGGAAGGACAGCAGACCAGCGCTGCACGAGAGAATTGTCGCATCCAGAATTCCTATGCAGCTCAGTCTCCGTGCAAAGTGCATGCACAACCTTTCGGTCATGTCGCACCTCGCAATATGCTATCACGAGTGCCCCTTGGAAATCAGAGGCGGCCATCGCAAGCATAGGTAAATAGACAAATAGAAAGTAGAACTACCAGCGCGTTTTACCGAACTTTCTATGCGTTGGCTGGCTTCCCAAATGCAGGGCTCCACCGCTTGCAATCTGACGCTCACGGGGATTTCACCGTGAGCTGCACTGTAGAAACACTTGACACTTGCAGCTAGATCCAATCTGCCCAGCAAGGCCTACGCGGTACAGTCCAACAGCGAGAGAAATCAGATATGCACAAACTCGGTTGCCTCCCCACCTCGTAACACTTTCAACTCTCGATGGATAACCCAAGCAATGAGACAGCAGCGAACAGATGTATTGAGCTATGTGTGTGGAAACCCGCATGTGGAACCCAATGTGTTGAACCCAACTCGCGAAACCCGATCTATAGAGCTGTATGCTTGAACCCTTTGTGCATCCTCATGTGAGGAACCCTCTTCATGGTATGGGATCCTCCTTGTGGAACACTGTGTTAAGCCTATGTGTGGCACTGTAGAATTATTGTTGAGTCAGGGCCAATCAATATGAGACCCTGTGCGAAACCCAATGGCGGTAATCGCCAGAACTTAGCGCACCGTGCCAAATTGTTCTTACAGAGTCAATAAAACCCTAAAACCCTTACGTAAAAGTACATGCGACGAGTCTGTAAACAGTGCGGCCGCAGACGCCAATTCCATGCACGAGAAATGCAACGGGCTATGCAACTGACACACCGAGTTCTTACGTCGAGTACTACATGGACACTTGTGCAGCAAGAAGTAGAAACGACACGGTGAAGAAGAATAGCCCGCCACAAGCGCAGACTGTTTCGTTCCAACAGGCGGGTCGCAATCGAATCGCAGGCGAACTGCGGAGGGGTCACCGACGGGTCGCGGGCAAGGTTGTGAGCGAGAAGATGCGATCCTCGACTATCCTGGCGGAATCTCATGAAATCCACTGATGAAACATGTAAACGTGAGGATACCATCTGCCATTCCACAATACTCTGGAAAACGAGAAGGTATACTTTGAAGGGGCCCTGGGACACACAAATAAATACACACAAATAAAATGATCCCCCATATTTTTCCATATGTTCTTGATGTTTGTCTTCCCGCCCAATTCCCATATTTTTCCATATGTTCTGGGGATCGACGATTAATTGTGTCTGTGTGTTTTTTCCCCTCCTGATACTTTCCAGGCATTACCACTACGGGGAGGCGAGCCACGCCACGAGCGTCGCGCGTCGGGGGCATACGCAGACAGCCATGCCCCCCATGCATATCTCAACGCATACCAACGGCATCATGCCCCATGCGTGTCCACAGCCTGGGAGCGCCCCACGAGTACAGAAAACATCGATGCGCAACTATCCGTGACCGACCAGGACCATACAGGGGGTCTCCCGCCAGACTGGCGCGAACTCGATGCACTCCCCTGTGAAGCCTATGATGTTCTCCCCGACGACCCCCTCCGCAGCCCTCGCCGCTCCGAACCAGAAGGCGAAGATGAGCAGCAGGTGCTCTTTGGAGAGGATCGTGAGCGACCTTGGCGTCTCCGAATCCCACCAGCTCTCTGAGCGTAATCGGGTGTTTTAGTGTACGAGCTTGTCCCAATATTCATCCCCTCCCACACCCGCTCCCAAGAGGTGTAGACGGCCCTCCCCGCGAGCGGTCAGAGCATCCAAGGAGTCCCCAGATGGCCCTCCATGGCCTGCACGATCGCGCACGATGGTCCAACTTGGTTCAGCATGGCCTCCAGCATGTCACCCAGGAGCCCCATGACCGCCACAAGACGGCCCGAGGATGCTCCCGAGTGAAGAGCAAGCAAGCAAGGTAGACCTCTTGATTACGGTTTCCATGAATTCCCTTTTTAATTCCGACGTCAGAATGAAATATCCAAGCGGTCCAAAAAGGCAAGACTGGCCCAGAACAGCCCCAGAAGGGCTCCGAAGGCTCCCAAGAGCACGCAAGCGATGTTTCGGGCGCCTGAGGTGCTGCGTCACTTCGGGCCAACCCTTTTTTGAGAAAGAAAGGCGCCACGCACCAAGTGAACGGCAGTGAGATGCCAACAGTCTTAGCTGGAACGAGACTAGCACCATGATGCGATTGGCTCAAGATACGTTCTGAGAGCCCTGGAGTTCTCAGCGACCCCGGCCACTCGTACGTCCTCGTTCGCTCGTCCATGCCTGCGCGGGTCAACCATAAAGGAAAACCTCGAAATCTCGGGACGCATCATCTTCACTGTTTCTTGCTGCTCTGATGAGCCGCCGAAGGAACAAACAAACGGCTGCAGGAGCGGACGAAGCTGGCACGCCCGGACCCGAGGCGGCCGACAAGGGGCCACCGCCCCGAGACTGGCGGCCACGAGAGGCCACCCGCCCCAGGCCAGCAGAGCACGAGAGGGCCGCACGGCCGACGACGACGTCGGTGGGCACCCTCCTTGCCATCGCCCGTGCATGCTTCGGCTTCGTGCGTGCTTCTTCTGTGCTACGGGATCCAGGATGCTCCTCGATGGCCCCTCGCCGAGAAGCAAAAGCGCCCACACGCCCGAGCGATGCTTCAAGTCGCCGCCCAGGCCCCGGGGCGGAGGGGAGACGAGGGCGGAGGAACGCGATCCCCCCCCGGAAGCCAGAAGCCGTGCGAGCGCGAACGCCAGCACAACCAGAGCCACCACCACCACCACCACGGGGCCCAGGAGTCGCAGGAAGCGGAGCGCGGGGGCTGTCGCCGTCGTCGCCTGGAGCAGGGCCACGCCTCTGTGGCCGGTACGCCGCCAGTCCGCCAGGACCGAAGCCGCCGCGTCCAAGGTCGCCGCTGGGCCGCCGAGAAGCGCAAGGGCGGCGTCGTCGTCGTCGTCGTCGTCGTCGTCGTCGTCGTCGTCGTCGTCGTCGTCGTCGTCGTCGTCGTCGTCGTCGTCGTCGTCGTCGTCGTCATCGTCGTCGTCGTCGTCGTCGTCGTCGTCGTCGTCGTCGTCGTCGTCGTCGTCGTCGTCGTCGTCGTCGTCACCGTCGTCGTCACCGTTGTCGTCGTCGTCGTCCGCCCGGCGCCTCGGGAATTAGAGGAGGGCCAGGCAGGCTCCCGCACGCCCGCCTCCGCGCGATCATTTTCCCTCCGCCGAGAAGCGCAAGGGTGTTGTTGTTTTTGCCAGGGTTACCGTGTCGTCGTCTTATTCTCATTGTTCTGGTCATTATTATTATTAAATTATTCCTCCTTCTCCCTCCGTCTCCGCTTCCGCCTCCGCCTCCGCCTCCCCTCCTCCTCCGCCTCCGCCTCCTCCTCCTCCTCCTCCTCTCCTTGCCAGGGTTACCGTGTCGTCGCTGGGACAGGGAGTGCCACAAGTGTCGGGCAGGGAGCAGTCTCGTCGCCGTGGCGGGGGGCGCCACGCCGCTGCCGGGCCCGCCTACACCACTGGACGGCCACCACCGAAGGAGGGCGGGAGGGGCGAGTCGCCGCCAGCCTGCGCGTCGCCGCTGCGGCCCCCAAGAAGTGCCCCCAGAGCTGCCGAAAAATTGCCACGAGACAGCCCCACGATACTTCGAAGAGGACTCCCAGGTTCCAGAGGCTCTGAGATGCCCCCAGGGTGGCCAGAGCTGCTCGGCCTGACATCAGCTTCGGCTTGATTGGTGTCCCCCCCTCTTGGCTTCACCAACGCTCCCCCGCTACCTTCTCGCGACAGCTCGCCTGGGGAAGGCTGCTGGATGGACTGGAGGGGATACGCGAAGCGAAGCGTCAAGAATTGCCAGTTTCTCCGCCCGACCAGTATCTAGACCCCTTTTTCGGAAGTAGCAGTAGGGGCGGATAGCTGAGGGACGGGCATTACACGCATTCGCGGGGTGCTTTCCATCAGCTGCGCCTCGTCGAGGAGCGCCTGAGGGTGATCGTCCAAAACGGCTGCCGGAGGCTCGAGTCATGGCCCGAACGGCAGGCGAGCACAAGGGGATGGCGCGAGGGGGGCGGCCTTCTGAGAGGGCGGGGGGGCGTCGGAGAGGGCAGGTGGTATGTCAGAAGCCCTCCCCGCTGCTCGTCAGGCTTCCCGTAGGAGCCTGGCAAGCCAGCCTCCCAGGGCGTCGACCTCGGCATCGATGTGGCAGCTGGCAGCCGCAGGGTTTGCGCCAAGTCGTTCTCGCGGCGCGCCGAGGCGCCACGACATGCGGGGCGCATCGAGCGTCTTCGGCGCTCGGCTGCCCTGAGCCGCGAGGCCCGCTGCCTCTGGGCCACTGGCGCGTGCCCGCAGGCCACCTGCGGCCACCAGGTCCACGGCACGCCGCCGTCGACCCTGCTGGCGCGTCGTCGCCAGGCTGCTGCTGCCGTGACGGGCGGCCAAGGAGGGCGCTGCCCGACCAGCACTCTTGCGGCCTCCTTCGGCCTGAAGGACCCTGCGGTGGCGATCCGTCGGCAGCAGGTCTTGGAGTGGCTCAGCTTGTGGCAAGCCCAGAACGATTTACACCGGCGTGTCAAGTTGGTGTGGCCTTCGATCCGAGCTCGGGCCCTGGAGGCTGAGAAGCGGCGCTGGAACGTTGTCCGAGGCCCTATTTCAATGATTATCTCGACACTTCTGGATGTGGGGTGGGATTCTACGTCTGCTGGTGTTTGGATCCGGCCCACGGCTCTTGGAGTTGATGAGTGGCACATACCTTCGAATGGTGAGGAGGCGTTCGAGCATTTTGGCTTCACCACGGAGCTCTTGGATGCTTTGTCGTGGGAAGAGGCTAGCAAGCACGACACTGGCGAGGGTCTCGAGGGTGACGGCGACTTCTTCCACATCATGAGGGAGCTCAAGCGTCATCAGTCCCGCAGCCAGTACGACGAGGACGGCTTGACGCTCACGGTGGTTGCAGGCGGGCAATGAACTCGTACTCGGCGGCACCTTCGTGGCTCCAAAATCGAGTCGACGACCTGACCGCGCTGCAAGAAGCATCCTGAAGCGTTGTTCCACAGGATACGATCTTGCGAGTGCAACCGCGACAACGACTACGAGACTACGATAAGACCTCCACGCTGTTCGCGGCGGCGCTGGCGCAGCATGAGGGCCAGCCCTCCTTCTGGCTCCGCGGTGTGCCCACTGTCTCCATAGGAGGAGGAGGAGGAGGAGGAGGAGGAGGAGGAGGAGGAGGAGGAGAAGGGCTGACTACGCCTCGGTTCGACGAGGCGCCGCTGGCCGAGCCTGAGCTCAGGCTGCCTGGCGCCTCTGAGGACTGCAGGGAAGGGGGGGGTCCTCCTCCTCCTCCTCCTCCTCCTCCTCCTCCTCCTCCTACGTCCTCCTCCTTCCTCCTCCTCCTCCTCCTCCTCCTCCTCCTCCTCCTCCTCCGGGGACGGTGGTGTACGGGGACGGGTCGGGAGGGAAGCACTCGGACGATCCCCGTCGGCGCCGCTGCGGCGCTGCCATTATAGCCCTTGCTCTGAATGATGAGGGCGAGCACCAGGAGCATGCGGGTGTTGCGATTCCCCTCCTTGGAGCCAAGCACTCAGTCCCCAGGTCGGAGCTCCTCGCCTTGTGCCTCATGCTTGAGAATGTTTCAGGTCGTGTCGAATTCGTCACTGATCCGAAGAGTATCGCCAGGTCTTGGAGGCCCATCTAGGAGAATCCCAGGGCCTCTCGTCTCCTGGAGGACCTCTGGGAGCGTGCTCGGAAGTCTTGGAGAGGTAGGCCTGGCCAAATCGTGATGCGGTTCAACAGTGAGCAAAAGATGCTCACGGCCATGGGTAACATGGCTGCGGATTTATGGGTGGGGAGGACGGCGCAGGTGCAGGTACACAGGCCTCCACGTGTGGCCGCTCAATTGCTGGGACTACAATCGTCGTCGTCGTCGTCGTCGTCGTCGTCGTCGTCGCAGGTGCAGGTACACAAGTGTCTAGCGGCCCGGCCGCACCTGAGACAACGTATTCTCCACCTTATCTTCACCCCCCTCCTCTCGACCCCACCCCATCCCATGATCTGAGTGGCGTTGTTGGGGCTCTGTCTTCTTCGGGCCTTCGGGGTGAGGGATCAAGGAGGGGAGGAGGAGGGAGGAGGTACGGCTAACCCATGCCGCCTCGGGGGCGCCCCCTCTTGAGCCATCGGTGGGGATAGGTTCGCTGGCTTTGGTGTTGCGTCTCTGGCTCGGGGCTCTGGCGGACCTATTTCCTGTCTCATTTCTTCGTCCGGGGGCGGGAATGTACAACCCGCCTCGTCCAACAACCTATCTCGGGGATGGACAGACCCCCCTTTAGTAAAACGTGGTTTAGTGAAAACGACCTGAGGCCCAAACCTGGCGGGCGCAAGCCTGGAAAATAACGGCCACGGCGCCTTCTCGAGAGCCGAAAACGGACAATTCACTAATCGACGTGTCACTGTTGGGGGTTCTGTCCACCCCCGACTATCAGGGGCGGTTGGGCCTCCGGACCTTTCCCCCGAGGGCGGGCGGGGAGGCAGGAACGCGGCGCCCTTGGTCAAGGCGCAACGTCAACTGGGGGCGCACATGTCGTTCGGCGGTGGTCTCGGCCATGGTCGGGCGGGGTGTGCGGTCCCTGGAGGCCTGTGTCGCTCGGCGGTGGCTTCGGCCATGGTCGGGCGGGGTGGGCACCCTGACATGACCCATCAACACCGGAGGGTGGTCATCGGAGCCTACAGAATGATGCTTGTGAGGAGGTCAGGCAAGGAGAGCACGCATGACGACGAGCTCCGGCTCTTCCCGGGTCGGCTTGCACATTGTGTGGCTGCGCTGCCAGTGTTCGTGTTTCTACACGGCACTCTGCCAAACGGCGGGTTCCCCCGACCGTTCGGGGGCGGCTTCGTGGTGGGTTCGGCCCTCCGCATCTGCCAGGCCACCGGGTTCCCCCGAGTGGCCGCCGCCCCCGGGGCCCCTCGCAGCCGGGGCCGTGCTTGCCAGGTTTGGGCTCGTGCTTTTGGGGCGTTTCGTCGTGCGTGGAAGACTTGGGGTAGGTGTGGCGTGGGCGTCTGTTTTCACCAGGCGACACCGGAAGTTGTTATGGTGCTTCTGGGTCTTCGGCTTGGGTGGTTCCAAAGGGGTCGGTTTGTCGAAATGCACCAAGTAGGCGCTCTGCGCCACCGCTGGTGCGGCCACCTTCTTGGGGCCACTTTGTGTTGTTTTTGAGAACTTCCATGGTGGTGTCGCAGAATGATGCCAGAGTCGTGGTTATGGGCCTCGGGTCTCTCCTCCTGTCAGGCCCCCTGCCCCGTTTTTGTCGCCCCCCCTTCCTCTCCCTTCTCCCTCTTTCCTCCCCCTTGCCCTTCCTTCTCCCCGCCTTCCCTTCTGGGGGGCGCCAAAATTCGGGCGGGGGGCCTGACGGGTGTGCTTTCCGCGCCCCTCCTTGCGTTTCTCCAGGTTGTTCATAAACTACCGACCAGTCCCGGGGGCCGCTAGCGGCTGTCAACCCGGATGACGTGGACGTGGACGTGGGGAGGACGGCGGAATTGGCATGGGAGAGGGGGGTGGTGGGGGACCTTCCTCGGACCGGTGCGGTCGACCCTGCTGCTGCAATGATCAGGAGGCGCGCCCGTCGCGCCCTGCAGGATTCGGCGGCCGTCGAGAAATCCTCGAAGGCCGACAGAGATGCGGTGCCCATCAAAGCGGTCCCGAAGTCTCGTGTTGCTCGTGCTGTCGCAGCTTCCGCCCACCGCCTCCACCTGAGGGGCTCGGTGTGGGTTTGCGGGGCCTGCCTCCAGACTGTGCCAAAGTCCAGGTTCCTGGAGCTGAGTACGAGCCCCTGTAACCCTCCCCCTCCTCCTGCTCCTGAGGCCCCCGCTCCTCCCAGGGCCTCCAGGATCGTCCACGGTACTGGTCTCAATTTATTACAAGGAGTCGAGGTCCACCCGTCTCATTCGCTCGGTCGAACGGACCAATTCTTCCTGACATTTTGTCACACCCGCGGGGCGTATGCTACGTCTGACCCCCGCCATATTATTGCTGAATGTCGTCCGAGTCGGAAAATCGCGGAAAATCTCGCCCGTTTTTGCAAAGGCCTCTACCCTCGCCGTGAGGCCCCCCCCCGGAAGCAGTTAAGATGGCGATGCAGGCCCGTGACGAGTTTGCTGCCAGAACGGGGCAGCAGAGTATGAGCGGAGCTGGTTCGTCAAGCCAGCTTGGCCCTGCCCCCGCTGATCTTCAGGATGCGCCTGCGGGGTCTAATCCTATTCCCAGGGGGGGCGGTCCTCCTTATCACACCGCTGCCCCAATATTCGCCCTGTGAGTCTGGGACCTTGTGGCCCGCAACACTGTTGCCCCGATTGAATCCCAGCTTGACCCCTCCTCCTACTCCTCCTCCTCCTCCTCCTCCTCCACTCCTCCTCCTCCTCCTCCTCATCCTCCTCCTCCACCTCCTCCTCTTCCTCCTCTTCCTCCTCATCTTCCTCCTCCTCCTCCTCCTCCTTCCCCTCCTCCATCCCCTCCTCCCTCCCCTTCCCTCCTCCCTCCCCTTCCCTCCTCCCTCCACTCCCCTCCCCTCCCCTCCTCTCCCCTCCCCTCCCTCCACTCTTCCACTCCATTCCTCCACTCCTCCACTCCTCCACTCATCCACTCCTCCACTCCTCAACTCCTCCACTCCTCCACTCCTCCACTCCTCCACTCCTCCACTCCTCCTCTCCTCCAATCCTCCTCTCCTCCACGCCTCAACTGCTCCACTCCTCACCTCCTCCACTCCTCCACTCCTCCACTCC